ATAGAAAAGGCCCGAATATATATATATATATATATTAGGCGAAATGTGTTCAAATAATTCTTTTTGGTTAAGAATACTTACAGTATGTTTTTTTTTTTCAGCTGAGACCCTCGTTGCCCGCAAAAGGGATCAGTTCTCTTTTACTTTTGGCTGTTTTTTTTTTAATAATAACTTTATTATCAATAGCAGAGTAAGTCATACATTAATGCCTTCCACCTCCACATAGCTATTTACAAGATTTTTTTTTATTTTTTTATTTGCTTTACAAATATATTTTTAGTTATTTTATTCTCAGTATTTCTTATATATTTTTCTCTATATGATTTTTTTTATTATCTTTATCTTGCTGGTTAGTCTTGTTTTGAAATTTCGTAAAATATCTAAAGCCTACAAAAAATATATAATGCTTTCTGTTGTCATATAGCCTGTACTGACCGACTCACAGTGCCTTATTCAGTTTTAGTTCCCTTAACCGAATAAGTATTTTATATACTTGTGATAATTATGTGCAATTCACATGAAAATGTGAGTTGTATGTTTGAGACGGTTCAAGAACAAAAAGGCGAACACCTTATGATGTACATAACTGCATGTGATATTGACATTGACACTGTCCAAGGAGCCATTAAGTCTTCTACTTGGATTAACTTTTAAATATATTAATTTAAAAAAACTTTAACTGTTTTTTATATTTTACAAATATGTTTTTATCGATAAATAAGTAATTTGTATATATATTTGTTATTTTATATTCATAATCTCTTTATTAACGTTATTATAAATTTTATTATTATTATTATTATTATTAATAGTTAATTGAATTATATCATAAATATATACATATATATATTATTATTATAATGGCAAATGTGAGGGCAACTCAACTGATAGATTAAATGTTGGTCGAAAAATTTATAGGCATTCTAGGTATTTCGGGGTCATATTCGAATGTGACTAGCTACACAGATAACAAGTAGGAAGTATCGACACCATGTCTGTAATTTACAAGACACTTTCCCTTTTAGCACCAAATGCGTTATCTGGAATGTATCTATGGAGGGGTTTCAAGGAACCCATATATTAGGGTAATTCTAGTGACAGAAAAACTTTTCCTTTGGAAATAGATATCTTTATTGACGCACAAAGAGTGCGTAAGTTCAACTTAGACTTAGACTATCGGTCGTGTAACGAGACTTTAAGATTTTCATAGATTTTTATCATTATTTTCCTTAGAATGGTTGCATTTTGGCATTATTTCAGACATACACAATTTTATCTTTAGACGTAGCGAAGTTTTGAATACACTTATTTCAATAAAGTTAGTCACCAAAAACCTAGAAAGCTGAGATCACTGAGCATCATGGGAAACTTTTCATATCAAAAAAGCATATATATACAAAGCTTTTTTAATGCAAACTGCAGCTCGATGATGCTCAGAAGAGGTGAGACTGTAACCGGTAAAGAATTCGCGTAAAATGAAACGTGTAAAATGAATCTACTCATAATCCTTGTCGGCCTCAGCTTTATAGCTTTTCAGGTGACTAACTTTATTGACTTTTATTTAATGTGTGTTAAGAGGATTTTTTTTTCAATAATGAGCAATAATGGCAAAAAGCGCCAAAAACTAGACTTCCGTGTGAGTTTTGATCCCAATTTTTTTAAACAGTATAAACTGATGTACTATGATAAAATGCTTGTTTGAAGCGGTATTTTCACTTGTACAAAGATGTTTTGTTGCACTTGTGTTAGAATATTGCTTTGTCAGGCTTTTTTATAGAAAATATATGGGAAATAAGCAAATGAAGGCATAAACCTCATTTTCGAATAGAATTTTTGCTTTGGGTTAACACTTTGATTCCACTTTCATCGGTCATCTCCACTTCCAAACAAGTTAAACTTACTGAATAACAAGATTTTAGCCTTGTACAACAGCCTTTCTTCAAGAAAATAGTTTTTTGCGGTCAATGCTTGAATACGAAAAGATTTCTCTATTTTCTCAAGTTAGTCATCTAACATAATAATGTATAGTCTAGTCTATATAGTCCTCTGCCACCTTATGCCCTCTCACGCTCATGATGACTGGACTTGGTAATTGGTTTAGAGATGGTAATTATGAGAGTTCCTTAGAAAATCAACTACATTGATAATACATCAAAAGAAATTAGAAGAACGCACGCTACCGAGAAAAGGATGATTCATTGCTGCGACGTGGGAAGTGGCTATAACCTGATGCCACACCTCTAGTATCAAATAAATATTGCAGCGGGTGCAGTTTTACAGGCTTCAAAATCATGCAAATAGACCATTCCTGAATTCGCTTGATTGACCATAAAACAATTGCTCCAAGATGAGGCTGGGTCACAAAATCAACAGTAAATGTATGAATACATCACCCCCAACCTCGACTAGAAGTCATTGTTTGTGGTCACTCCGAATTTTGCTTGTGGCACCATTCTTAAATCTTGTTAGAGACGCATATTTGTTTTAGCGCAAGAGCATTAGCGACGTGATATAAGTAACTACGTCACACTGCAGTTTATTACCACTCTTAATCTTAAAAATTTACAAATCTTGGTACCCATGTAATTGAAACTAAATTTTGTAAAAATCGTGAATTATCAAAAGATTTTTTTTCCGCCTAAAGGCTCGTCCAATTTCGAAATCTTTCAAAACATCACTTGTACCTATTAATTCCGAATGGTACTCGAGATCGTGCGATTTCCTATACAAGCCACACGAAAGAAGAGCGAGGGTTAAACTTTGAACAATGCACTCTCAACCAGCATAAGAGTATCATGCTATAGATTCCTTGTATGTATTCCAACCTGCTGCAAGGGGTCTATTTACCCATGAGATTCCGAATCTAATCGCGCAAGGTATTGTTTGTCAAAAGGAAAATGTTCTGGTCATCTTTATTATATCTTCCCGAAACGAAAACGTTTTCTTTCATTACAAAAAAAAGCTAATTTTACGAGGTATTTGTCAATTTTGGTCAATTTCAGAAAGTTTTTTTAATTCGATTGAAACATGTCAGAGTTGATTATCGAGTCGTCAAACTAAAAACTCTTCATTTGCCTTATCATGTCTAGATGCCACTTTTACCAGAATCATTCTTGTTAAAGCTCTACGTTGCCATAATAACTAATACCATGTTGCGACTACCAATGTAGTCAGAACTGAAGAGTCTGGTATTATAAAGAAAAAATTGGAAATGCTAAGCGACCGACGAACAAAATGTTCGCTGATTGGCTGAACCACTGAGGTAGAGATTCCCTTCAAGCAGAGTCCCCCTTGTGTTTTCCGCTAACGGGTGAGAGAAACAAACCACCTGAAAGCTGCGTGGTGCAGTTTAATAGCAAGCTCAGTCGCTACCAGACTTTTTAGCAGGGAGCCGTTTCGTTTCGTTGCATAGCACGCAAGCAGTTTTAAGCTTCTAAGATATTTGAATTAAACAAGGCTTCCTTCACTTTAATTTGATAAATTTTAATTCTAGCTTTCGGGACAGATCGATCCATCATCAGGGAATGAACAACTAGTTCTATTTACAAAACGTCATTTACTCCGATCCCTGATGATGGACACTTCTAGACCCTAAACTCGTATTAAAATCATTTAAATTAGCATGGAAGAAGTCTTGTTTAATTCAAATACGATTCCCATCTAAAAAATTTTTACTAAGATGTTTTCATATAATAAACTTTAAAAATTGAAGTATAACAAATATTATCTTACTTTATGCCTATGAGATTTAGGTTTCACGCCTTTTTTAACAAAATGTCGGCGATGAGACGAAAAACTTAATTATAAAACATTGCGACATTAAGTTTTTAAAATTGTACATAGCACTAATAATAATAATAATGGAACTTATATAGCGCACATCAAAATTCATGGCGCTTCACAATAAGAAATAAAATAAATACCAGACAAAAATAGACGACGTTTCGACTTTGGCTCTCTTTGTGAAAATAGGCAGGAAAAACTAAATTAGAGACTAAACTAAGACGAAAAACACTAAGAAAACAACCCCCCATACACTTCACGCACGCTTGAATACAAGGACTCTTTCAATCAAGTGTTGTAAACAACTAAGTGCCTTAGGGTAACATGTTAACGAAGGGAACAGAATAAACTGAGGCGGTGTGTTTACAACTGTTTAGAAAACAGCCATGGAGGCATGAAAAGTTTCAGTTATAATAAAAACAGATCCCATATATCAATAGCGAAAAATATCTGGCCATTTGACCAAAAGTCCCTTAGTTTTATACAATTATAGGCAAATACGATGTGGTAATGTCTTTAGGATTTCATGTTTACGATGCTAAGGCTGTTGACTCGAAAGTTTATACTACTTCAACAGCCATGCACACCTATTTATTTTTCCTCTTGTATTAACATGAATTCTTTGTATATATAATCTACACTTGTATCATCATTCATTCCACTTTTCTGTAACAATTTAGCTTATTGTACTTGTGTGCGAATAAACTTGAAACTTGAACTTGAAACTAAGAACGGACGAATAAGTGTTTGGTTGTTTACGACTTTTCCTTTCAATATCGTTAGGTTTTTCCAAAGCAAATAAACGTTTTGTCAGACTTTTTGCCTTGTTAAACTTGTTTCTTTGAAAAACTTTTTTTTTTTTTACCGTTTAAGCAGGCTTGAAAATTATTTAAAATGCTTAGAAAGATAAAGACCTCGATGAATATATAATTCAATCGTCCAAAAAAAAAAAAAAAGATTTATTCCATAAAAAAACTTTAAATTGCCACCTAGATATATATTTATAATCAAATTTATTATCCTATATAGCTTTATGAGATTAAAAACCGGTTAACGGAGCCGTTCTTAATATATATTATTATTATGAGTTTTGACACGCTTTACTACTGCCAAATTCCACATGAAAACCTTTTAAGTGTTTTTCTATGTACATGGAATACATTTAACAAAGACATTGAAGATTTTGTCCGTAGATTATAAAAGTTTATATACTATACCAGTATGTTTTGTTGACTGTTGTTGATGGTCCTTGAAGTTTTTTGGGTTTTTTTCTTGTTACCTTCGGTTTCAGCAAAGAACAGCAAGGGTAATATTGCAATGCTGGTAGCTAGCCTAAAATGTTAGTCAAAACTGTCGCAGCACAGGTATGGAGAGTGCCTTTTGTTTGGTTTACTGGTCCCCAGCCGAGCGTGCAACTTCCAACTGATGCAAGATAAAACCGCGTGCAATTAAAATCAAAGAAAAGAAAAGAAAGAAAAACGGTATAAGTTAGAGATTCCAATTTTTAAGAATATTATATCATTTGAATGTCTTTTTTTTTTTACTATGAAATTTGGCGGAAAACTAGTTATCAATATATTTCCCTGAATTTTGCAACCTAATTTAATATTACTGTACTTTATTTATTTATAA